ATAATTTCAATATGTCTAATACTTTTTTTATTCATTTCAGTACAACTAATTTGACACTGTATCCAATAGTTTAAAAGTCTGTATAAATATTCGTTTATTTTTGTTTTATAGACACAAAAGACATCCATTATTTTGATATTAAGCCACTTATTGGATTTAAATAGCATTGTTTTGGAGTTAGTAACACTATGTAAGCAAATTTCTAATAAACGATATCATATAAATATAGCAAAGAATATACTATTGTATTTAAAGTCGTTATGCAACGTAAAGTATGGATATCTTAAGTATGACTTTGTATCGTTAATCTAGCACTGTGAGTTAAAGCCTTATTATTCATAAACCGTCAACGATAAGAAAATAAAGTATTTTAAAACATATTTTTAGAAATAATCTTCAGTCATAATAAATATGAGAAGTTCTTAGAAATACAAACATAAGTATTATTAAATATCAGTTTCATATATTTTTATCTAGATACAGCGAATGAAAAATCGATAAACATAAAACTAATATGACAATAATATTTACATATGTATATGTGTACTTAAATTGAGTTGAAAGAAAATAAAACACAAGAAACTAGTACAGTAAAAAATAAAATCCTAATATCGGGTTAAAATAAATAAATAACTATAGAATGGACCAAATGTTAGCAGGAACAATTTTATTTATTTCTCTGTGAAAGGTTGACTGTGAGAAAAAAAATCGTATTTCTAGGGAGGTACAAAATGATCGATTGAGTGTAGTAAGTAAAGGAATAGCCAATTCCCATTTAATTCCCATTTGGCTCGCTTTCTTAGTAACCTGCCACATATAAAATGTTATTAAATAGATTGAAAATAGCTGTGTAAAGCTGCTTATAAAAAAATTGTCCATATTTTTAGCGGTTTTCACCTAGAACACAAATATAAACATTTTCGTGAAACGATGATAGATATAGCTAAATTTAAGAACTGTTAATTAATTTACTTATTATGTCTATGTTGGAGGTCAAAATCAATATTTTTTTCGCTTGTGTTATTTTGTAATCGAAATTTTGTACAATTATAATTCTATTCCTCTGGTCTGGTAACCTACAGTATCAACTTCTTCCATTTGAATCCATACAACGTCGAGCAGTTCGTATTGTCAAAGATCCCATGCTCACAGACAATCTAGAACCCTTAAGCCTCCGAAGAGATATGAGCTCCCTCTGTATGTTCATCGTCTGCACAACGTGGAATATAGTGTCATCTATATATATCCATTTTATTAAATTACTTTGAAAAGTAGAGTCAATTGAAACTCATTTGAGGTAAAACGTTAGGAGTGCTGACGACCAATAATGAATTAAGGTGAGCTATTTTAGTACTAATGGGATACAAAAATCCCTACTTCTAAACACTCGTTCTGCATTTCTAAACTCATTGCATATATCTTGAATTTAGCATTCTCGTCTTGCCAAATATAAGACTTCAATATATCCATATCTTGGGCATTCTTACTTGATCCTAACCTTACACTGTTACTTTGTGCTCCTATCATACACTTCTTATAGAATTAAAGTCTCTAGCTCCGGGGCAACTTTGTCTTTGCAAATTCTTTCGGATTGGAAATTCTAACGACGTCATCATGTGATTTCCACAGGAAATATCTCTCGGAAGCTCTTAGGTGCTTAAAGAGTCCGATGGTCTCTTTAGATTCATCTCAAAACTATTGCGATCCCTAAATAAAGCTCAAGAATCCACCGACAGCGTGAGCCCGAGCCACAACTTAAACACATTACGTATTTTCGCGTGAAGAAGCAACAACATACATGCATCTATCAATATATTCTAACCAAGTTTCTCATTTCTAATATTTTTAGTTTTTAGCGTCCAAAAATATTTTAGTGAAAAAATTTTTAAGATTCTATTTTGAATTAACATTTTAATTAAGGAAAAAAATATTAATATATTTGTTTTTTATATTCATTCTAATGCAAAAGTTTTGTTGGTTTTGAAATCATTGCGCTGAGTTAGTTTGAAAGAATTGTTGTTAACATTTTTTTGTCTTATTCTTAATGTTTTGTGGAAAAATATAACCTAGAAAGTAACGGCTTATGGTTTTTTCTTTTACTTTTGTTGTTAATTTCCATTACAGAATTTCACCACGTCCTCGTTGAAGGGTTCAAAAAAAGATTACAAATAAACATAATGACGTAAATATGATAAAATAAAATAACCTACCAGGTTACGTACTATTTTAATAAAAAAGCAATGAAATATATAAATAAAATATGTTATTCAATAAATAATAAACCTTACCAATAAAATCAATAATCCATTATCTCTTTGTGCACTGTTCACACATTTTCACACACTTAATCACAATTCGTTACCTTTCTAGTCGACTTTCGTACAATATAGAGTCCGACCTGCGCGGGCGCCGGTCGCTATTTGGACCAACGCATGCGTTAAAAACTATTTATAATTTAGCCGGGTGAGACAGACGGCCAGTTTGTTGTGACCTATGTATAAATACTTAAGGTAGATTTACACTGAACGATAAGAGTATCGTTATCATTATATTATATTATTATATACCGTTATCGTTATGGAGTAGAGTAGTTAGAGAATTACTCTTAAATATATGGTTACATTTAATTTGTTTGAAAAAAATATATTTTTATTGAGATATAGTTACTTAATTATGATTGTGTAGAAGTAATTGATTTAGGAAGTTAAGTCATTGTTTATATCTTGAGATTGACAATTTTTTACCCATTTGTTTGAGACAATTAAAATAAAAAGTATTATTCCATATCAAAATGTTCTCACTTGTTCAGTAACTTTAAGAGTGATATAGATTCTTTATTTGCTAAATCTTTGATCATTGAGTGTGCATACGGCCTTAACATCTACTATTATAAAATTAGACAAGCGTTGAGTGTGCGGTAGCTCAAGATAAATTTGTCGTGAACGCTGTTTCACGATGAAATAAATAACCAAAAGCCCCTGAAACCATTGAGGATGGATCTTTGAAATCAGGAAATTAAAATTTTCAATACCTTTTAGGATTTTCGATTAAACGGCTTCGATAGGAAAATCATTAAGTTTTGGCGATTAATGATTGCGTAACGATTTTTGTAATGCCGTTTTGGTATGCCAAAAAAGAGGATGAGCAGCGCATGAACATTGGCATACGCAAAGCGTGTGAGAGTACCCGAGATGGAAGAATAACTTATATACAACAACAGCTAGAGTTATTTTTTACTAGTACTAAGTTTTAGAATATAGTTGAAAGATACCATTATATATGTTTAAATTTTTGGATCAGTAAATTTAAGTTTTCTCAGAAAACAATCTGGAATATTTATTTATTTTCGGCCTTTTAACTGCAAATAGCCCCCTACAACAATTTTTATTATCTAAGTATTGTATTCCTAAATTGAATGATATTATAAAATTATAAATCACGGAAAATGCTTATATCTATGGTATTGTATTAGATATTGTCTACAATAATTTCAATTTTGTGATTGGAAGTCTCCTTTTTAGTTAATAATTTTAGTGCGTTATTAAGAAACTACTATATTTTTAAATAATATAGTATCAAATATGTTACATGAAAATTGTAAGTATAAATATTATTCTATGTTTATTCAAAAAATGTCGAGATACTCGTAGACATCTGTCCACAAAAATGTCTGTATTTTGATAACTTATTTAATTACTATGTACTAGTCAAAATTCTGAATAACAGTTCCGAAAAATAAAAATGAAAACTTCGACACTTATGAGGACTTTGCCACAAAGACTGGAATTTTGGATGGCCAGGCCTCTACCATATGATTATAAGCTAAATTAAATTTGGATAAATAAAAGTAAAGTCACAAATAATGAAACGTATTCTAAACGATATTTTCATTTTAAATTTTAAAGGTATTATAGGTACCTACTGTTTTAAATGTTAATCTTTACGCTTCACTTTCACTACGCCTAATATAGCAAATTCTTTACAAATCGGCCTAAAAGGAAGTTTCTACATATGTGTTAAACTCCTAAATTAGGGCAATTAAAATATAATTTTAAAGTATATAAGCATGAACTGTTGACTTAAATAGTCGTAAATTTTTGCGCGATTAGGCGAAATCTTCTGCGCCAACACCAACCAGAGGTAAAGGCACAAAAGAGATTTCCGTGGTGCGATGACGATGAAGAGAGAGAGATATATATATACATGAACACGTTTTACCTTCTCCAATGCCTTTTATGGAATTTTGGTCCCTGTTTTACATAGACATTTGATATTTTTACGATTCAGTTGATTTTTTCTTAGTAATAAGATCATTTTACTGCTATGAAAAATTTTTATGAATGTCCTAGCAACTGTTAGTCTGAAAATTTCACTACTTGTTATTTCACTATTTATTCAACACACTAGGAACATTTATTTGGTAGAATATTACCTCGATGCTTTTCGTGCTTTCTTTCCAAAATTTTTAAACAACTTTTCTAACTTTAAGCAATAAAAATTTATCTCACTGCAATTCGGTAGAAGTATTAGAAGTAGTCGTTAAAATTTTCGTGAAATAATTTGAATCCTAAGTGTTAGAAATGAGAATAATGTGTTCAGTTCTCTAAAGGTTGATAACTAACGAAACTCTTGGATACTAATAAAGACCATACAAAAATAATGTGTTTATTTCCAACAATAATTATATTAACAAATCATTAAAAAGTAAACGATAACTCACAAAATACTAAACTCAATTTTTATCAAGTTCCAAATGTTAGGATGTTAAAAAAAAATTGTTTCGTAAATATATATAAAAAAATATATCTATTCATCTAAAAAAGCTAAACAAAATCCAACATGATAATTTTGAATAACTCACATACATGTACGGAGCCTAGACACGAACATTTTCGATATAATATATCATAGGAAACAATTTTCGCTACAGTGTATGAAGACCTGTAAAGTACTAGCACTTTTTGCTTCACGCTCCTCAAGGCCTGTCAGAGTTACAATTACTATTTGAATACCGACATCAGTTCGTTGAAATTGACGATAGTCCCGCAAATTAATATGAAAACTCCCACCGACATGAGGATGACAGCTCGCCATAGACGCCACCGAAACTTACCAAGGCCAGGTCTCTGCCATATAACCATGAGGTAGATGAGATTTGGCCAAATAAAGGCCATGTTCGATAAACAAAAGGCGCCCAACTGAAAAACATCATGTTTCAATATAATACTAAAATGTAAGACTCGCGAGTATTCATTTAAATGACAATAATATTTTTGAACTTCTACGTGTTATTTTAGTGTATGCTTAGATGTTTCGGTTACTTTTGCAACAACCGTGATCACGGGCCCAAAAGATGTTGACATGACATGACATCATTCATATGTAGTAATCCGAAAATATTAGTACCCGCAAAAATCTTAGATCTCATTAATACTTACGAATCCCATGAGAGCATTGATGTTAGGGAATATAATAGCGACAATTGAAACAAGGAAGCAGAAAAATGCTCTGTATATCAATTCCCACATGAACAGCTTGTTTTGATTGTGAAGGAATTTGATATAGTAGAAGCAAAGGTTGAAGGGTACCCAGAAGTTGAGAGCGTGGGTCACATATATCATTATTGCGATACCTCCTTTTAGTAACTTTGCCCATCTAGAATTATCAATATTTATCAGTAACTATGTATTTTGGCACCAATCGATTAAATTACAAAACAACTAAACTATACTTCAGCTAATATTTGCTTTTGGCTTGATATATAAAATATAAGGATTAATCTATATAATTATCAAAAACAATCATCCTAACGAAAATATTTTCACAGTCCGCTTGAAAATTATTATAGTTCATTTCAATAGAAATTTGCAATCTTGTAAACAAACGATCAGCTGATATTGACAAAGACTTGTCTATGCCCCTAGTGATATGAATACTCTTAATCTTAATTATTAGAATGAGTCTTCTACCTGGCAATTTTTCCCAGCTTTAGCCAGGGTCTACCTGGATTTAATTATTAGAATGAGCATTAATATAAAAAAATACTTTAATTTGTCCATATTTTGTTACGCATTAATCAGTGAGATTTTTATAATGAGTTTAGAAATGCAGAATGCAAACGAGAACACAGAAGAGTTGTTTGCTTCCCAATAGCACTAAAAACCCTTGTTTTCCAAAGACCCTAAAGACCATGCCATCAAGGTCAATAAGTGTTACAAGATCACTAACGGTTTAAAAAAAAATTTTTAATTTGTACTCGTTAGCGCTACCTATGTTTAGTTCTGTCTGCTAAAGAAAAAGAGTTCCCTCGGTCAACTATACATTCCTAAGTTTGAAAGTAAAGGAAGTTGCGGACAATAAGTAGTCCATTGAATAAATATTATGTATACCACTAATTTTTCAAAAAAAAAATTGACTTTGATGAGTAAAAAATGATTGTGTTAATTTTACAAATGCAATAAATTTTTGTGTGCAAAATATTTTTATAAAATAAACATTTAGACAGTTGTTCAGTGATGAAAAGATTGTTAAAAACAGTGGGGGGTTCATTGAGATGTAATTATTATCAGGACGGATATCCAACTGTACGTAAGAACGAAGTAATCGTGGTCAGTTGCTTCGTTTATAAGATTGCCAATTTCTATTCAAATGGACTATACATATAATTTTTTTTTGAAGTATTAACATCTGATATTCAGAAAACTAATTAATAAAATAGTACTCACAAAGTCATGGGAAAGTTAACAGTGATAGGTGACTCGCACTTCTCCAAGTAGCCAGAATAACCAAAAAATGATACCAAAAATGTAAATAAAATGATGATAGACATACCTTAAAAGATGAAACACATAAGTAAACACGATAAACATTAAGTTAAAAGAAAAATAGCACATCATTCCCACCGGTTAACAAAACTTTTGGAAAGTTTTTTGGCTTCTCCATATTATTTTCTATGGGGATAACAACACCAGAACATGACATACTAAATACAACCATTCCGGTGAACTCAAAGAAATTATACACTTCTGTGAACATCTTCATGCCTTCAAAACGTGGGTTATTGACCAATGCGTAATAAACAGTCAAAAAAATGCAAACACCTAAAAAGACACAAAAAAATCATTACATGTGTGAAAAGTGGTGAAAATTAAATTATATATTTATTCTTATATTTTCAGTTTATTGCAAAAAAGTAATATAACTATTATAAAAATAAGTATAACATGTATCATACTTATATTTACTATTGATATCTATTCTTCTCGTTACTAAAATGATGTGTAATAAATATCATTTTATATATAATCCTAATGAAAAAATTATATTAAAACAACTTCGTAATTTTACTCACAAATAATGAGATTTGCGACTATGGAGAGTGGAGCCAAATATTTCAAATGTATTATCAAACAAATAAGTATAACGGGTATCATCATGGCAGCTAAGTATACTCTGATATCACGACCTGAAAATAATTTATCATATTATTGTAACTTATGTGTATAAGTAAAATCAATTCAAAATATGAATCAAACGACAAGAAACCCCAGTTAGTTATTAAACAAAACATCCTGGGATAAAAAAGGTATAAAAATAAAAATGTGTGTGGTAGTGGTATAAAGTGATTATTAACCGTCTGAACAAAAGATGTTCTCTATATATCATACAATTTAATATTTTCGTTCGACGATTTTTGTGAAAACAAAGGTTTTGGTCATTATAATAATAAAAAAGTTTGCTTTGTAACATTACAATTTCAATTTGATAAAAAAATTGTAGATCACTTTGTTACATTACATTTTGATTTCTGCTACAAGAAATATCTTAACTTTTTTATTTACTATTTGCTAAACAAGGCAAATGAATGACATTACAGAAAAGAAATAGTGAGAAAACAAAACTTATTAACTGGGTATACTTTTTATTCTGCAGAAAACAATGCAATTGTTCCTTGTTTGCATAAATCGTGTCACATATTTGTCATAAATTATGTCAACATGCCTAGTTCGAGCTCGTATAGTGTGTGTGTGTGTGTGTGTGTGTGTATGTGTGTGTGTGTGTGTGTGTGTTTGTGTGTTTGTGTGCTCGTATATTGAATCTAATAGTCAATAACAAAATCATATGTAACTAATAATATCACCTGCATCATCTGGAGCATCCTTATCCAAATTCTCAACAAGCTGTTTAATAGACTTCGCTATAATAATTTGGTAGCAGGCACAGGAACCATATAAATCGATTCCTATGATTATATCTATGGTATACCTGAAACGTTTTGACATCGTAAACCATTCAACTTTACACTTTTATGAGGGAGAGCATCTTACCTAAAAATTTTTGAAAATCTCGCCACCTTGGGGTGTGGAAAACATGCCATAGCTGCTTCTCCGACGTCAGGGTATGTCATAAATGTGACCCGACATCTTCTGTAGAGTATTTGCGCTGAGAGCACCAAAATCTAAAGAAAATTTAATAAACACATGTCCTTTCTTCCGATTTTTAAACAAATTTCATGAAGTAAAAAGTAGGGGATGAATACTTACGTGTAAACAGAAGGTCATATATATTCCAAATATAAGGTTAAATGGCAATGCCACGGCAATTCCAGCTTTCATATAAGCAACATGTCCTCCTAAAATCCCTCCACCTAAAGCGCCTTTTACCATGTTTGCGACGGAACCTATGTACCTGTATAGAATTCAATAATCGTCTTTGCCATTTTGGAATTGCAATTCTAAAGAAGTTACCACAAGAATTGTTAAATTTGGCCAAAAAATTGGTTTACTTCTACAGTGGAAACATTCTTCCAATTTGTTAGGTGCAACATTTTAACTGAGGGACCGAAAAATGATCAACGATTTTGAAGTCATTTTCGGTATATTAAATCTCCTTTAGCTTTTCTTTTACAACTGACCACTAATATTTGTAGAATCCTGTAGTTTTTATCATAATACTGATACTTTTTCGTTCCCAAAAAAAGTGACCACCAATGACATTAATGAATAAACAAAATATATACCCAATAGTCAGTTTCTGCCCAGATCAGTTAATATTTCTGTCTATATTATTAAAAATGGCTTTGCAATAAAAGACCTAACATGACCTAAGTAACGACTATGATATTATTGGTTACCCTCAATCATTTTATAAGAAATTTATAGCTACGTACAAATAAAAGGTATTTCGATACTTTAAGAATATTCTGGCTTAAAACTTAACTACGGTTTTGTATTCGTATATAATCTTAGGGAACATACCCGCTGGGTTTAACCGTATCTCTAAATTTGACATAATCAAAGGCATCTTCGTCAGCCTGGCTTGGAGCAAGGTTCTTCCAATTACCTCTGCCTGCACCGGACGGTTGTGGACCAGACTGGCAAAAATTAATAAAACTATTATTATTCTCTTCTATTCTCTATACAAAGTAAATTTTCTTTACAAACACATCCTCTAATTTAATACTCAAAACTTTTTAATATCTACTTCATAATAATTGGAAATATTTCTACTGTCTTTTTAATACTTTCTGTAACTAGAACGAACGGCCTTAAAAAAGTGATGTGTTTTCTGTCTTTGCCATTATGTAATATATTAAATACCACCTGATGATAAATTATAAATAGTAGTCTTCTTTAAACATACCATCTTTATAAAAATATATCACTTCAAAATCACGCAAATAGATAAAAACATTGCTCCTATAAAAAATAATTCACCAATTATGACCGTATGACACCATACAGTTCTTTTTTCAATCGAAACTTACTTCTATCAGCCAAAAGATTTTTCGGCCAGCTATATAAAAACAAAATATTCTTTTTCTACATCCCAAAAAGTATTTCAATCGTCATAACAATTCTACAAATATAGTAATAATAAAATTTTATAACTTATAAATTATCAACGCTAGATATTCATATAAAATGATTGCATGAAATATTTAAACTATTCAAACATATTTAATATATGTTATGTTAATTATAATAGTTCACATATTTCATAATTTTATAAATATCATTGATATTATGTTAAGAAGCGTAAAAATTAATCATCATAAAACATGAATGGATCGGAATTATACCTCTACGAATTAAAAATGTAACATAATGTATAACATTAAATATTGTACTTTGTTTCTATTGTATATGGCTACATAATCGTTTGCCAATAGATCAAAATATTTAAGCTTTATTATGGTAGTTAAAATAATTTCTACTTAATAGTCATAGCTTAAATGCACCTTTGCTAATTGATTATATAGTTGTCGTTTATTGAATATCATAAAGTTTAGTATAACTCCACTATTTCAGTGAAATAAGTCAATGGAAACATTAATTGTTTAGTTGTCATATAAATATGTTTACAAAGCAATAAATATGAAAGGAAGTTTGTTAATTTTCATTTTATTCTCACTAACGTTTATATCAAAGGGGAAATCATTAAAAGTAAGTATTAATTTTACAAAACGATATCTACTTAATAACTTTTTATCTTAATAGTTTTAACTATATGTCGTAAATAAAATAATTAGGAATTAACCAATATCTTTTGTATAAAATGTAAGTGAAGTTAAATATTATATATTTATATATTTTATACTAAGCAGGAACCAACCAATGATAATAGAGACGATATTAAAGCAAGAACATCTGAAGGTGAAGAAGATAAAGAAGGTTTGACTATATATATTGACAAAGACCGTGTTCTCAGTATAAACGAATTAAGAAAACTTTACAATCTCGATGACAGTTTGATCCCTGACATTCAATTCAGCAAAGAATTAGATAAAGGTTACGTGAAAAAGATAAGATTAAGAAAGAATAAACCAAAATCAATAAACGAAAGGGAGGCCGATGCGAAGGAAGATAAGTTTTTAGAACGAAGTATACCCGAAAATTCTGATACAAAAAATATTGAAACAGATAACCCCGAATTGGAATCTAGAATTTCTGATACTGAAGAAAAAGCAGACTTAGATGATTTAACTGCTGTTGAGAGCGATCGTACAGCAACAACTGATACATATTACGAAGAGAAAGAAAAAAGTGCTGTGCCGGAAGAAAATTACGAAGATGATTTCGATTTTTCTGAATACACAATGCGTTCTGACGAACATTCCAAAACAAGTCAGCCTAACCAAGAAGCGACAACCGCTTTTTCTGATTACGTAACGCCACCAACTCGACGAGCCAATGTTCCGCGTTTTGGCACAGAATATGTAGAAAGAACTGCTAACACAGTTAAGGATGTCCTAGCTGGTTATCAGGATCTAGTGCCAGAAGTCGAAAAAACACACGCATTTTTCGGAACCGGTAAGATTAATAAACATATATTTTAATTCAAACAGAAAGTTAGAGCTTTTTTCGGTGCACAGTATTTATTTAAGATGCTAGTAGACTAGTATCATTCAGACCACAGGGATTAAGGGATATAGTACGTATTTAAAACCATAGATTACTATAAAAGCCCTTATTTCCGATTAATATAACTCTGATTTGAGCAATAAAATAATACAACATTACTTTAGATTTTAGAATTATATCTTTGTAAATTGTAACGATATTGAAACTGACAAATAATGAAAAGTTATTTAGAATATGCTTAGCAAACAGTACAGTAAAAAATATATAAAAAAGGTAATTGTGATTTTTTCTTAAATTTGATATTTCTCAAACAATTTTCTTAACCTTTTCTCTTGAGAATCTTTTCCTGACAATAACAAATACAATAATAATAAAATAAGGGAATCGTAATGGCGTGATCAAGAAAAATAGTGATTCATTATGATATATATAAAATACTTAACTAAACATGATTGCTTATTTATCAAAATGCAATAACAATATATAAGTATTATTTTGTTCTTAAAAAGTAACTTCATATAGTACGAGAATGTACATATGTAGTATATATAATGTTTGACTTCTGTTTGAAAGTAGAATTTAAAGATTAACTAAAACAACGGTTTTAGGTGATACGGCATTAAATGGGTATTTGAGTTCTTTGGATACTGTTAAGACAGTGGAAAATTCACGTCGTATGAATCTTCTAAGAAAAATCCCTTCAACGGGTTTAAATGGATTACCAAACAATGTGAGAAGCGCTGAGCCATCAAATGAACCAGAACAAGAGGAAAGTAAAGAAGATTCTCAAGATGAACAGCCAGAAGTTAAAGAAGAATCTAAAAGTGAAGATTTCCTTGCCCCTGATCCGGGAAATGAATATCCTTATACGCCACCCCTTAAAGGAAATGCTTTTCAGAATTTAAGGAGCCCAATGCTGCCCAAACCAAACCCTCCTACAAATATGTTGTTACCAAAATTACGTCAAGCCTCCCAACATCCTACATACCCAATTTATAATCGATTCAATCCAATCCCAGGAGATGGTTTCCAAAACTATGGAAGAATTCTTCCTTATTATTCATCATACGGTTCTTATATATCACCCATACGGCTATATAACTTTCGCAGATCAGGCCAAAATCCGGTTTGCAAGGACTGTTGAAAGAGTAATATAAAATATAAAAATAAATTCTGTTTTATTTAATCCCGATTTCTTGTTAATTTATGTCAATGTAAACTGTAATCCTTAGTTCTCACCCCAGTACCTAGTTCTGCCAAAAGAGGAGAGTTACGAGTATGTGCTTAAGCCAGAGAGTATATTTATTTGTATGGTACTTTTTAATAATTACTTTTTATTACATCATTATTACTATTAAGGAATTCTATGAGATAGATTACTGTAAGAAAAAAAAACAAACAGTATATATAATGCATTCATCTGAAATAACCTATCTTGTCTTATTACTTGTGCCATTACTTTTTGACGCCTGTGCTTTCAACTACAAATTGTCATTAATTCTGTCGCTCATATTTTTGTTTGATTAACATAATACATAAAAGTAATAAAATAAAAAAAGAATTTGACTGGAAAACATAGCATTTATGAAGAAAAAAAAATTCCTATAAATCATATTCAAATAATTGAATTATTAATTATATTAACTATACATTAATAAACAATCCTATAAATAATATTATTGGAAATACATGGAAACCTTTTAGAACAAATACGCCTCTTTTTATAACATTTAATAAACATTTATGTTTGTTATGACCGTTTCATAGTTTGCAGTAATAAATTATGGCTCTCTTAATTTAAAGTGACGTAAGCTTAAAGTGTTTATCTATATATATAAAAGAGATATCCACCTATATATTGACTCATCACGATATCTCTGGCATCATAAGGCGTAGCGACTTGAAATTTGGTAGGATTATTCCTTTCGCCGAGTAGAGGCCAGCTAAGAACGGATTTTACGAAATTCCATCCACAAGGGGGGTTGCGAGGGCGTTAACAATGGAAAATACGCTTTCACTTAACTGATTTTAATGAAAGGTACAGAGATGGAGTTAACCTTGAGAAAGAACATAGGATAGTTTTTATTCCAGACTTTTGAAAGGTACTCTTTGAAACGCGATATAACCGAATTTAACGCGGACGAAGCTGCGGGCGGAAAGCTAGTTTTATATATAAAGGAAATTTTCTTTTCATGGTATTTATATACCTACTTAAGGATATATTTTACTAGTTATGACCCATTTTATTTACTCTTATTATTGTTACGTAAAACTCAATCTTTAAACGATTATGTATTATGTCATTAAAATAGCAAGCATATGAAGTTCTCACCATGTTAGTTGTTGTAAATTGTATACTAAAGATGGCGCTTTTAATAAAAATGCATGAAATATTTATGTAAAATGAATAATTTATTTAAATTAAATAAATAAATTTAAATTTCATGATGAAGTATATAAAGACTAGGTACTTTATTAGTAAATTCTTAAAATATTTTGTATTTTTTAAAAAATATTTATATTTTCTAAGAAGATAACTATTTCCTTTATCCAGCATAACTGAAAGGGTATACTATATACTCAAACCTATGTTTCATTCAGTAAGTGTTTAGGATTGATTACTTTAAATCCTATTGTTTCCAGTTATAGTTTTTGAAATTTAGTATTTGTTAAAATTTGACATATATTAACTTTTTTAAACTATTACTCCATTCGCACTAGAACTGTGGAATATTCTGCCAATGTCAACGTGTTTATTTGTTGGACGAATTATAATCTTTTAAGGGAATATATAGATGTTTTTAATGTAAGATAAAAATGATTTTGCGTTTTTCATTAACTAAATAAATTATATTAGTGGAAAACATGATAAAAGAAAATAATCAAAACTATTAATAATTTTAAATCAACGCTAAACCTAATGTATGAATGTATGTTTTTAAGTGTCAAAGAATTCATTATCAAAAGTTGTATTTTTCCTACAGGTACAGGAATGAAGTGATTTGCTCAAATATCTAATAATTATTTTCAGTAATTTAATATACACTTTTCAATACAAATTTAAATTGTTATTTTTTCTCTTAACGATCTATAATATAATAACAAAAAGCTGTCAATTGGACAGTTACGTCAAAGTCACATTAATTTTTGAATGTTTTGTATTTTAAACATAACTTGAATTAAACGTAACTTGTATTTTAATAACTTAAGTGAAGCCAATTTATTTTCAAAGTTAATAATTCGTAATAATATCGTTTTATTTTGTTTGTTTTTCACTTGAAGTATTACAGCGTTATCAGACCAATAACAAAAGCGAGTTGTGAAACCAAAATGGGTAAAAAATATTATTGTGATTACTGTGAGAAGACCATGTCTTCAGCGCCGATGATTATCAAAACTCATAACAAGGGTATGGCTCATCAGAAGTTAGTTGGTGAACATTACAAGCAGTTCAAAGGTAACTTCTATTCCTGCAACTAAAGTTTTAAAGTCATCTAGATGATGTTATTGACTTTCTTAATTCTTAAGGAACTTCTTAGTCCTAAATTACTGTAGTTATGTATTCAATAACTAATGGAAAGTGTAATTACTTCCCAGAATGTACAGTGTATGTGTATGTGTATATAAATTAAATATTAGTAAATTCAAACAAAATATTATTTATATGAGTTGTAAATTGTAATCATTACATACAAATGTGGCTCTAAGAGTGTAGTTTGATATTTAGTAATATTAATTAATTGTTTGTTTTTTTTTTCTAGACGCTAAGACAATATTAGAAGAAGAGAGCAATAAAAAAACATGCCTTAAATATCTTAAAGGGGAATGTCAGTTTGGTACAATGTGTAGATTTTCACATTACACAAGAGATGAGTTATGTCTCCTAAAACAAATTGGTAATTATTATTTATTATACACATCAAGAAATAAAAACTTTAGTCTATAAATATTATTATGTCTAATTAACCTTTTTATTTCAGTTGATGCAAAAAATAATGAATCAGTTTCAAACCAACCATCCTTCAAAGAGCTCTATGATAAGCTACAAAGCGATAAATGTGAATATTTTGAAAATAAAAATGCATTGGTTGACAAGAATGGTATAACGCATATGTTGCCGTGGAATTATAATGCTGTTTTCGAACAGTATGGAGATAAATTACCGCCTAGTCTTAAAAAATTTAAATCCGATGACTTTATAAATGTATTTATTACTGAATGGGGTGATAATAAATGTTAAATAATGTCTAGTATTTTATTACAAAAACACTGTATATAAATAAAACTAATATTTTTCTAATGTGATAAGCGGTTTTATTTGTTTTCAAAAACTAGATACTTCTGACGTTTTGGTTACTTTACAGCAACCGTGATCATGGGCAGACGAGATGTATATATTTAGTGATTGTATATGAACATTTCACTTTTCTTATGAATTTAAAATATTACAATACATTAATAATCTATATTGAGGTGTTTTATGTTTTAAAAATTTCTCTTCCATTGAAATGAAGTAGTTTTAGTAACGAGTTTGTTTAAGATTGGATTAAACTTGAATGTAGGGTAGTTGATGAAACGGTATTCCGGCTTGTAATTACGACGTAGTTCACACATCTGTAACATAATATTTTGCATGTAAAGTATATATATTTATATATTATTGATGGTGTATACCTATAACTATAGTATTATAAATTGTTTTTTTTTTTATTTAGTGTGAAAAATGACATATATGAAGTTAATATAGCTAGTTTTATAATTGTGAGTATTTTTAGTATATTATATAAATATTTATGTCTATAGTTTATAACTAATCCAGTGATCATAGACCTTAACACTACCCTGAATTTATGTTTGACAGTGGAATGCTTAATTTTTTCTAAATTAATGTACAGATTATACCAGCTCATCTTCTTGCAATGCTTGCTTTTTAATGACATTGTAGTTTCTTAACCTTGGCATAAACCATGTTTATCTTTATCTATTTATTAACCATTATAATTAGATTTTATTCGCAATAGTCATATTGGGAAGGGTTTTGAATTGTCATTTAAAAAATATTTCTTCATGTTTTATACTGCATATATATGTTTACGTACGATTTGTCGATACGATAGAGTTCACTGAATGTGACTTGAATTTATTTAAGGTGGTCCCATATAACTTAGTAGGTATTTAATATCAGAGACTTTTCAAATATTTACTTTCTAAAAAACTTACTTTGAAAGTTGTGAAAATCATTAATAATAACCATATACTGCGCATATATAACATAATTTAAGCCACACTATTTGTTTAGTTCCATTTACATATATGTAGTTCCTAACTCAAATAAAATATTGCATTTGAAATGATTTTATACGAAAAACACATTTAAATAAGTTTCGTGGAGGATGAAATTTTTATTGCTTATAAAATTTAAAATAAATATGTAATAAAATTTTGTTGATTCTAGGATTCCTTAGAAGTTTTAAAACTGATGTAAAAATAATTAATATCAGTTTCTCTAGTTTTTCAATCATAGTAAGTTGATTGGAAAAAATGTTGCGTGCATACTTTTTTATTACGGTAAGTTGATTCGGTCAAGATAGAAATTTAGTTTTTTTTATTTTAATAAAATGGGTAGATTATGTGAAATAGGAATATGTAACAACTTTTTTGGTTGTTTTTGATGATTTAAATGAAACTAATATATTCGGACTACTATTTTTAAAACTACATACTTCCATAAAAATAGTAAAATATCACGTATTAATCCGACAACATTCGTTTTATTGAAATGAATGCTCACGAAAGTGTTAGGTCGCATTATGATTTTGTTAACATTTAATTTGTATTAAATAAAAATATCCTAAAACATTTTTTTTATATTTTCCATTAAGTATTATCGTCATCACAAAAAAATACTAGTTTGAACAATGCATTACATTATTATAATAGTCCCAACACTATTGGATTCTGTTTCTTTTTTTTGTAGGAACTGTAATATTGAACTAACTAATAACTTCAAAGTTTGTAACTTTCTTTATATTTTCTAGACTTTACTGCTGAACTTGCAAATCGCAAAAAGTACAAATGCAATAGAAAAAATTATGAAGAATAAAAATGGTTATTTACTCATTGTAATGAATAATACCGAAAACGAGAAGCCGATATCTCGTACAAATTATGATCACTTGGCGAGAAAAGAAAGGATCAAATCTTTGAAATTACTAAAAGAACATAACGCTAGAGTCCAAGAAATAATGGACTTCTTAAAAGATCACAGAGTAACCACCATGTATGTACTAGATGAGATAAATAGAATTAAAAGAGACCATCAAGTAAAAGATGAACTTAGAGAAATGGTGACGTATTTAGAGCGACCAGAGAGAGAGGCAGATAAAGAGTTGGTGCTATCTCTTTTTAGCGTAATGAAGAAGGAAAGACAAGAACAGAATTTCGATGTATTCAAAAAAAGACCAAACAGTGGTATCATTAATATCATTAAAGATCCGTTTAATGACGGAGTTGTGAAGTAAAAAAAATATTTTATTTAACAATTCTATACCTACTTATTTCAAGGCATATATTGAGTTTAATGCACATAAGTAATATATAAAATGATGACGTAATAAAATGATTACTTATGAATTTCTGTTTTGTTAATTGTAATAAAATAAATATTCATAAAGATAATTATCGCTTCATACCATATAAATATACCATATAAGTCATAATGGCCTTTGTTCGGATATTGAAAATTCTTAAAGCGATAAAGTATACAACATATTTATTATGTGTACCACGAAAAAAAAAACAAAGTAAATATTATTAGTGTTTAAATAAAAAAACCTTTTTTCTAATCCTCTAAAATCACTAATTTTAGATAAAACACTGAGTTTATGTAATTTGACCCACCAAAAACTTTTTTAATAGATTAAATAGTTTTCATATTTCAATTCAATTAATTATTATCATGATGAAAAAAGTGTAATTTTTTAATAAAATCCACACCTTAAGTCAATATTTTTCTTTATTAATACATATTTTGTTTATAGTTGTGATAATATAATTTGAATAACGAAAATTTATTGTACTTTGTATAATTTATTTTCAAATTCACACCCAGTTAAAAGTTGGTACAATTATTTCAATCAGCATTCCGTCTGTAATATATTCACGAAAAAATTAAGCCATAAAATATTGACACAGTTAAATTTTAAAATCATGCAACTTAATTGTACGATAGTCCCAGATTTTTACTCTTCATAAAGAGTTTTTTATTTTATTTGTGACTGCAAATGGCAGTTTTCATAAATACGGTATGATAAAAAATATAAACACAGATAAAATTTAATTAGTCACTTTTATTTATGACGTAAAGAAGACGCGGTGATTTTTCTTTGAGTAAAGATACAAGTCTGTAGAGTTTTGAGCCAGGCATTATTTCTACTCTGACGGATTCCTGAAAGAAAAATATATTATACAGGGTGACTGGTGAATTACTATCGATATTTGAGGACGTGATATTTGACGATCATATATGACAAAATAAAAATTAATATAACATAAATATTAATAAACTTCCAAGTAAAGTTAACCAAAAGTTGTGTAATTAATTACGCATCGTGTGAACACCCTACAGATTAGGTATACACTGACACTCACACATACGCGTGTCGTGACGTGGTGTTGTATCAGCACGTCGCCGCACGCGTCCACACTTGAACACTTGGAACGTGTCAACACTTTATTTATTTATACGGAAATTTTGTCAAAAATTAAGTACCTTTTTTTTTACATAATTGGAATGAGAATCATGTACCGAGTATTCTCCTTAAATATTGATAGTAACTCACCAGTCACCCTGTATATATCGCAGATTTAGGTATAGGTAATTGCTCATCAATTTTATTAGTGACTAGGTATAATAGGAGGAGGAGTTAAATATTTTTAATGAATGAATAAACTGTCATAAATAATAATTAACTTACGGGCTGATTGCTCTGGGATGTACGCAATAATTTCTTCGGGTCTATTTCTTCTACCCAAACGTCATTCCAATAATTCTGTTGACAAATATTAGGAATATTTATAAGTAAAACTTAAATGAAAATATTACTTTGGATTACTACGCGTTATTTTACTATTTTTTACAACTAAATACTTCCGACGTTTCGGTTGCTTTCCAGCAACCGTGACCACGGACAGATGACATGAGAGATTTAAAAATAATAAAATAACTCGTAGTGATCCGAAAACATAAGTTTCATTTAAATGAATACTAACGAAAATCTTAGATCTGATTAAAATTAAAACTATCTTATTCACAACTTGTTTTTTACCATGAGACGAAATCTCTTAGCATTCAATGTATTCACCGTGCGGGTGTCGGGTCCATCGTTGTAGTGAGAGGAGCTTCAACAGTGACCGGGACTTGTGACCCAGGTATAGGTTTAAAGGGACCCCTATCTAACGCGCGTTAAACGCTCACCTCCACTGTCCAAGCTCCTCTCTCTACATAACCAAATCTTCTTTGCAAGAAAATGTTAATTTAAATATATTTTAAAAATAAATCTTTACCCCAGATCTCAGTATGTCCTTCTGTATAAATCCATCGGACGGATTAATAGGCTTAGATTTTTCTAAAAGTGCCGATGTCTTAGCTATCTTCAGGACAAATTCTGGTGGAGCCTGTAAAATATTCCTTTTTTAGCCTCAAATAACGTTTTAAATCTAAATCATTATTTAATGCCATACCTTAACTGGTACTATTTCCTTAGACCTTTTTTTATCTTCAATAAATTGCTGTAAAGGTTTATTAATAATATTTATTTATAACTTTAATATTACGTCAATATTCTAATCTGATAGTACCTGAACATCATCGTGTAGTTTTTCTTCCGCCAGTTCGTCTAAACTCTTCTTCTATAAACAAATATTAGTTTGATTTGAAATTTGCTACATTTATTCAGCTGATGTAACTAACCATTTTTGGTTAAAATATTCATTGTGTTAAAATATGAGAATAATATTTACTTTAGTATATAGATATTGAGGTATAAAACGTCTTCCGAAGTCTTGATAATTGGAGGGAATGTTGTAATGTTGGTTGGTACCGAAGAGATCTGAGACTTCACCCATAGGAAAGTTTTTGAAGATCTGCTCCTAAAATAGAAAAATAAAAGTTAAATCTCTCGAACAAAATAATTATAACAACAATATACGTTAATATAACTAAATAACCTTATAATCGTCTTTCTTCTGTAAATTAAAAATGTTTTCTTTTTAAATATACATACCTAATGATACATTATATTGAATATCTGTATATATTTGGAAATACCTTCTTTTTCATCTTTTTTTTACCCGTGCCTTCATTGTCTGCCTGAAAACATAAGATCCTATCAGAGCCCACTGCTAAGCAAAGGTCATTTCTCACAGGAGGAGAAGGATAGGGCATTAATAACCACACTTGCTAAAGGCGGATTGGCGATTTCAAACTTATAATTATGAAATTATAAGTCGAGGTTTCCTCACGATATCTTCCTTCACCGTCTGTCAGTGATGTCTAAATACTCTTAGAAAGTACGTATGACTCGGAAAAATCACATTGGTACTTGCCAGGACCGAACCCGCGCCCTCGGCAACGAGAGGCGGACCTTTTAACCAGTAGGCTACCACTGACTTATTGACAATTATAAGTTTGATATCACCAACCCGTCTTGAGCAAGCGTATTGATTAATGCTCAAACCTTCTCCATGTGAGAAAGAGGCCTTTGCTCAGCAGTGGGCTCTGATAGGTAAAAAAAAATTAAATTGTTGGAATGCAGACGATTTTACATGTTGACTATCTTTTTTTTTTTTTTTTTTTTTTTTTTTTTATGTTATAGGTGGCAAACGAACAGACGGCCCACTTGATGGAAGGTGGTTACCGTCGCCCATGGACATCCGCAACAAATATGTTGATGATGCGTTGCCAACCTTTTCTTTTTGGGGATAGGGAAGGGTGGGAATAAGGAAATACAAGGAAAGGTTGGGAAAAGGGAAAGGGCAACCGGCTCTCTCACTCATCGGACGAAACGCAGTCATTACTGACTACTTCAGTCAGTACCGATCTTCTGTGAGAGGGTGGTACTTCCCCGGTCGAGCCAGCCCATGTTCGAGCTGTAGTAACTTAACCACAGCTAGGCTCTACCACCTAAAAAATTTTGTATTCTTCTAACTTATTTTGTTTTAGATCTGTGATTTTACTTACAATAAAGGTTTGTTGATGAAAGGTGTTACAACATTGTACTTTACCAATAATTTCTAAATTAAATTAGGAAATCGTTGAAGAACTAAAAGTGAGATCTGAAAATGAATTACATACCTTACTGTCATTTTTTTCAGTATCCGTGAAATCTTCATGTAACTGGAACATATAATTGTAAATTTAATTACAAGTATTATCGTTGAAATATTAGAACTTAGATAATAGTTATGGGGATTAGGCTAGTTGTGTGAAATTTATCTAGTGCCTTTTTCATTATATTTCTAATAATATTTAATTAACAAATAAATAGACGGGTATATAATTTATGTCTTATTTGAGACTCAAGCAAAATCCTTGATTAAAAATAAACTCATGGGATCCATTTCAGCCTAATGAAGTTGTTTTGTCTAATTCATGTGTATACACCTTCTTATAGAAGTTTCAAAGAAAAACATTACCACTTAAGAATTAATTGTCGTTTGCAAAAAGACTTGGTAATCGAAAATTAATACGGCTGATTTTTTAATAGATACACTTAATTGGAAGCCTGAGACTTATAGTAAGTTTTTGTATAGAGCGATATATCAACAAACGGCTGACAGAGCTATCAAATTATTTTCAAACCTCCTCATGTTGTTCAGTATCTGTGACCGACGCATTATGCTGCAAAAAGTAATAATAAAATTTCTTTAATCTCTTCGTTTCTTAGTATTCTTTGAATAAAAATAATTTTTGTGTTTATATTAACATTGTTAGATATATTTCTAATGTACTATATGGCAAATAAGAATTATACACTACAAATTAGGAAAATAAACTTTCAGGAAGGAAGAAGGAGTTAAAAGCGTAAATAATTTTTGGTATAAGCAAAGGGAAAATCTAAAAATGTGTTTCATACCTTCTCTTTTTTGCTTATAAGATGGATTTTGTTTTCATTCTGAAAATGTCATAAGCTCTCATTAGTTACTTGATATTGGCAATACAACAATGCATTTAAATCAATTAACAGTTTTTGTTTACATATATAACCTAATGATACCCATTATTATAATTTATAAGCATATTTTAAAAGAAATATCTAGGTAATTAAAAGTATCGATTTTTGGTACAATTTTATTTCCTTGTAAACATATATTTCTATTTCTACGAAGCATTAGAAAACTTAAAGTGATATATGTTTCTTCGTAAAACCTAGCTATGACATACAAAATCTGTGTCAGAATTCCAGAACTCCTTTGTCTTCAGTATCCGCAAATTTTGCTAGATACTAAAATATTATTAGAAATTAAATTTCTGGTTATAGGGTAATTATTAATTAGGTAAGTCAATAAACAATCCTTGTTTAGCTAATATAGTCCAGCCACTCAGACATCGCTTTTCTGACAGGTAAGCCGTAAGCGAATGGACTACATATATATGTAGCTTAGAATTGATTGCAATATTAAGCGATATTAGTGATAATATTTACATTATTGTATAATTATGCCAACTGCATTAAACTTACTAATATTAAGTTTTAAATTAATAATAATTAAATAATTAACATATACAGGGTGACTGGTGAATTACTATCGATATTTGAGGACGTGATATTTGACGATCATATATGACAAAATAAAAATTAATATAACATAAATATTAATAAACTTCTAAGTAAAGTTAACCAAAAGTTATGTAATTAATTACGCATCGTGTGAACACCCTACAGATTAGGTATATACACACACATACATAGGCGTTTGGCGTGGTGTTGTATCAGCACGCCGCCGCACGCGTCCACACTTGGAACACTTGGAACGTATCCACACTTTATTTATTTATACGGAAATTTGGTCAAAAATTAAGTACCTATTTTTTTACATAATTCGAATGAGAATCATGTACCGAGTAATCTCCTTAAATATTGATAGTAATTCACCAGTCACCCTGTATAAAGGTTTAAGATATAAATTTTAGTTTAGAATTCAATAAATTATACCCAAATCATGAAATTATTTATCGATATGTACATTATTTGCATGTGTCCAATAAAGTATGAGTAACTCGACTATAGTTTATGTTATTTTCATTGGGTTGAGAAAGTGGCAGTAAAAAAGTCGTATTTAATTTAATGTTTCAAGGAGTAAACTTATAATCGCTAGCATTCTCCTAGTGAAGAGGCAATTCCGGCAAAAAAGTTGGCATTTATCAGATTATGTAAAAAATTTATAGAACCGAGATAGATTTTATTTTTTATGTTACTATTACACAATCTGTAAGTAAGTTTTATACCTTCTTGTTGTTATCCTCAGTGTCCGTGAATTGTGATATAAACTGAAAATTTAGTAAAAAAACCTTGATTAATTTGTCAATATTACATTATAATCATTAATTGACTAAAGGCAATAGTCCGGCTCCTCTAAGATGGCGTTTTTGACAGGTGTTTCTTTTCCAAATCTTAATGTGACATATAATATCTGTGAGTTTTATACCTTCTTATCTTTATCCTCAGTATCCGTCCATTGTGATATAAACTGAAAATGAAAAAAAAAACCTTGATTACTTTGTCAATATTTGTTAATCATCATTAATTGACTAAAGACAATAGTCCGGCCCCTCCAAGACCAATAACATACCTTTGTTTCTTTGGTTTCATCATCCGTCAATTTGTCTTTTAGCTGCAAAATGTGATAGTAAGGACTCAAAAGTTACCAAATCTTAATATGACATATAAAATCTGTAAGTGAGTTTTATACCTTCTTGTCTTTATCCTCAGTATCCGTCCATTGTGATATAAACTGAAAATGGAATAAGAACCCTTGATACATTTGTCAATATTAGATAACTAGCTTTCCGCCCGCAGCTTCGCCGCGTGGAGTTCGGTTATATCGCGTTTCCAAGAGAACCTTTCAAAAGTCTGGGATAAAAACTATCCTATGTTCTTTCTAAAGGTCAACTCTATCTCTGTACCGAATTTCATTAAAATCAGTTCAGTGGTTTAGGCGTGAAAGCGTAGCAGACAGACAGACAGACAGACAGACAGAGTTACTTTCGCATTTATAATATTAGTAGGGATAAGTAGGGCCCGGATAAATATGTATTAAAAAATCTAAAATATGTACATAAAATATGGACGAAAAAATCAAAAATATGGAAAAAATATGGAGTATAAAATAAAATAATTTCATAATTAAACATTGTTTTACTATAAGAAAAGGGTCACTCGTGACATACATCGTTAAGTTACATTTAAAAAACGATGAAAAAAAAATAGGGAAATATTTATTTCAACAAAAAATAACAGTTTTATTCAACTTCAGTTTTATTCACTAGCCTTATCAAATTGGTTGCAATACACAATGACGTGCTTCTTTAAATTATCAAAATGAAAACTGACCATTTGGTAGAAATATAGCCTTATATCTGTTGAATGATCTCTCGACGTCACATGACGTGATGGGTGCATACTTAAACATGCTTAATTCAGTAATTGTGTAAGCAATGTCTACAGCCTTCGAATCTTCCTCACAGAATTTTGTAATTTTTTTTTAAGCGTATAAATCCTTTATTTTTATCCAAAACATTAGTGGCGGGAACGTAAATTTTATGTATTTTTGTGAATATGTGGACGACTGTGACATTTTCTTCTAAAATATGGACTTAACTTTGAAATATGGTAAAATATGGAAAATAAGAGTTGGTTTTTCACAGTCTAAATATGACAATCCATGTAGAAAATTTATTCTAGACCGAAAATCGCGTAAATTAAAAATGTGTATTTACATATTAATCCGGGCCCTAATAATAAGCATTCATTTACTAGAGATCATAATCCGGCCGCTCCGAGATTACATTGCTGATAGATTGCAATACGATGGGCGATTTAATTTAAACTGCATAGCAAGTTACTGCACAACTTGAAAAATCTTTTATTTGCCTCATTGAAGAGTAACATTAGAATATAATAATTTCATGAATCACAATAAAAATGTAAATTATTCAAAAACCAAATTTAACACCCGAAATGTCAAAACCAATAACATACCTTTGTTTCTTTGGTTTCATCATCCGTCAATTTGTCTTTTAGCTGGAAAATGTGATAGTAAGGACTCAAAAGTTACCAAATCTTAATATGACATACAAAATC